GGTCGTTGGCGATGCGCGTCAGCGTCTGCACGTTGACACGGTGCGTCGGCCCGAAGAAGACGTGGTCCTCCATCGTCTGCCCGACGCCCGGCCGGTCGGCGACGACGGGGATGCCGAACCTGGACAGCTGCGCGCGCGGGCCCACGCCCGAGACCATGAGCAGCTGCGGCGACTGGAAGGCGCCCGCCGACAGGATGACCTCCTGGCGCGCCCTGAGCGTGTACTGGCCGAGGGCGAGGGCCGACGAGACGACGACGCCCGTGGCGCGCTTGGCGCCGTCAAAGACAATCTTGCGCGCCAGCGTCGCCGTGTAGACCTTGAGGTTCGACCGGCCCTTGGGCGTCGCGCAGGAACGACGTCTGCGACGAGTCGCGCGTCTGCGTCTTGGGGTCGATGGTGCTGGCGCAGTACTGCGCGCCCAGGAGCGCGCCCCGAGTTGAAGTCGTCGGCGTCGGCGACGCCAATCTCGTTGAGCGCCGGCTCGAGCCACGTGCTGAAGGGCTGCGCGTAGTTGGCGTACGACACCTGCAGCGGCCCGCCGGCCGGCGAGAAGGCGGCGGCGTCATACTCGGCCGACGCGTTGGCGAAGCGCGATGCCGCCGGCGCCGTCAGCCGCGCCGACCGCCGAAAGTGCGGCTGCAGCGCGTCCCACGTGTAGCTGTCGTCGCCCACGGCGTCGGCCCACTTCTGGTACGACTGCTTGGTGCCGCGCTGGTAGACCATGAAGTTGCGCGCCGAGCTGCCGCCGAGACACTTGCCGCGGGCGTAGTGGATCTTGCGGTTGCCGGCCCCGGCCTGCGGCTCCGTGACAAAGTTCCAGTCGACGAGCGGGTTCGTGTCCGAGGGGCTCGAGCCCGCGAAGATGGTGTCGCCGGCCGGCGTCTGGCCGAGCGCCGGGTTGGTGATCTGGTAGAACGAGCCGGCCTCGACGACGGCCACGGTGATGTCGCGGTTGGCGCTGAGCCGGTTCGCCAGTGTCAGGCCTGCTGTGCCGCCGCCGATGATGACGTAGTCAAAGGTCGCATCGCGGTTGAAAATGCCCAAGAGAGAGCCGAGCTGGCGCTTGTCCTCGCGGTGCGATGCCGCCTGCTCCTCGGTAGGCACAGCGGCGGCGAGGACGCCAAACAGCGCAGGAATGAGTGAGAGACGCATAGTAACGTAGGCCGTATGCAAAAGGGGATGGACAAGGACGTGGACCAGGATCGTCAGAGGGAGAGGGAGGGAGAGGCCAGTAGCGGATGTATGACCACACTTATACCTCTGCTGTCCAGGAGCGGCAGATGGCTCATGCAGCTTGCCGGCATCGATAGACTTACTTCTTCCCGCGTCGGATCTGGGCTGAGTAGTTTGACCTGCATGGACCCCAATGACAACACGGGCTACTGATTGACCGGCCGGGTCGACTGGTAGATCAAGCTGAGCAGCCTAACCTTGGCATATCTGGGCGAACACGAAGGCTCGAGCCTCCCCATGTGGTTCGATCCTGTGTTCCTGACTACCCGCCAACAGAGACCGCCGCTCTTTGTTTCTCAGGCCAGAACCTTGCGGGCCGCGGCCAGGTGAAAGAAAATGACCAGAACGGGTCAAGCTGTTGGACCGACCACACAGGACGGGTATGGCGTCTTCTTAGCGGCCGTGGCTAGTGGCGATCAGATCGTCTCTCACCGTCAGCCGCTGCAGGCCCGGGCTCGCCAGGCGTTGGCTGGATCAGGCATGGCGGCGAGGAGCGAGCCAGAACAGGGTTTGCGGGCGGCATTTGAGCGAAGCCCTGGCGGCGAATTACAGGTGGATGCCGCAGATGCTCGAACTTTGTCCTGATTTATCTTTCCTCTTGCGGATATCTACCGCATCGTCAATGTGGTCCTTGTTGGCCTTTGCAGGCTGGCAGATGATCCCCGTCGCCAGTGTATCTTGACATTGACTCGGGGCTGATAACTCGTTCTGGCCAGGCCTAGCTCGAACGGAACAAAAGAAATCAAAGAATCATCCTTGCGTTCGCATTGTTCGACGAGTGGCCTTCGACTCAACATGTTCTGTCAGTTTGGGGCGATTGCCTGCTGGGCCGAAAGGAAGACGATCATCACGTCAACACGAGAAGAGGGTAGACCATGGTCCTTCGACGCACTCGAAAACTGCCTTGCGTCCTGTTGAGGCTGGCGATTTCGGATGTATGTGCCACCAAATGCCACCGCAACTCGTAAATGCCACGCCCAGCACACGAATGAGTTCCTGCAGGTCTTGCCTGCCAAATAGCCGAATGTTGCAAGACACCAGCCTTGAATGGTGTGAGACAACACCCGCCTTGACATGGAGCGGGCAAGGTAGATAGATCCCCAGGATCCACCACAACCCAGGGTCACGAAACCAAAGTACTACGTTGCTTCGGGCTGCTTGCGAGCTTGATGAGGATCGAATGGCAGTGTCAAACAAGGCTAGTGTATTGATGACTGGTATAGCGGCAACATATTGATACGGGGACGTCCGTTGAAAGTGTTCTCGGCAACCGGTGTCTATCCTTGAAGATCGCAACCACCAGACCGCACCTTTTGGTTTTAATTCGCCTCTTATATTGAGTGCATAGAACCCTTGCCACACCTGCTGAAGACACTCGTGGTTTTCACTGAGCCGCTGGTCGTCGCCATTCTAGCATGGAAATGCTACTTCCCCTTGGCTACCTTTGGCTCCCTGGCTTGGGAATTGAGAAAGCATCCGATGGCCCTGACAACTCTCAGCGATCAGTAACTAACATATGCAAATGCCTGATCATGGGAGATTGGAAACTCGACGGTGGATGATGAGCTCGTCCTTGCCTCGTTTTCTCAGCACACATTCTCAGATTGTGTCAATGATCCTTGGTGGTCGGAGCCTTTTGAAGAAGGACCGTCAGAAGTCTCCGGTGACGGGAGCAATCCGCAATTTGTCGTCGACTCCAATCATAGCTACGACCGATATTTGACTATGGTGTGCGATCAGGATAAATCTGCTATGGATGTGTTACGGTCGGCTCTAGTAGGGCTCGGTGGCAGGCCTCTCACGGTCGCAAGTGCCTTACGGCAGCTGTCCAATCGAGCTGAGAGGATGCGTAGTGGATTGACTTGTTTGATTCGATGATTCATGTTTTTCGACTTTCGGCTTGGCGTAAGTTGTATGCGGTTGCGTGATCGTTTAAGAAACTTTGTACTTACTCTCATCTCCGTAGATTAGACCTGCTTGCTACACCATCGTCACTGTGACCTCGTCGACATAGATTCGTACCAAGGCTGTCCATCCTGCGTGGGGCTTCATCACTTCATCAAGAAGGCGCCCATTCCGCAGATGATCGTTCAAGCGTGGTACCGGGATGCTAGGCCGGCTTTTTCGGTCTGGCACCAGCGTTTTATCCCTCATCTGGACGTGGTTACGTCTTCCCGAGTCCAATGACTTGAGCTATTGAGCTGGGTCCCCTGGTCGAGCACAAGGTCTTTATCTGAAAGTTCAATCAGGAGATGGCTGCTCTATTGCAGCTGCAGTTTGAGGCTATTGTTGACAAGAGGAATAAGGCGGCACCTGTCGAGATCGCGCGATCTTCACATATTAGTATGGCGTTTTTGAACAACAACATCGCTCATATCGGTCATACAGATGGGATATAATATAGCGCGAATGGGTATTCCAAATTCCGATAATATCATTGTTCCTCTCATCGTAAACACAAAGGAGCAAACCGTTGAATCCTCACACACTTCTTGACGACATCTTTTGCTTATACTCTGCCTATGACGACTGTCCCAAAATCTTCTCCTCCCACTCGATCAGAAGCTCCATTATTTCCAATGAATCCGATAAGCTTGCGGCAGGGCGCTTTACCTCCTTGTGCCCAGCTGCCAAAGCTTCCTCTACCTTCTTGACCTGGCATGCAAATGCGTCTTCGGAAGCCGTAACAACAACCTCCCTGGTCTCGCCCGTCTGGTACGTCTCTATCGTCAAGACATTATCGCCGGCAACAGGCAGCCAGGGGTTCGTCTTGAATCTCATGACCGCCTTGTCGCCCTGAACAACAAACCCGGTGTCCTTGCCGTAGCTGTCAGTCGACTGGATGGTCGCCAGGAGGCCGTTGTCAAGGCGCAGCATGAGCGCGGCGTCCCTGCCGTGCGCGACGCCACCGTCGTGCGAGACATTGCCCGCGGCCTGAAGCTTCCTGGATCGAATAGCGTCGGAGCCGAATGCAGTCTGCACGATGAGATGGAGCAGAGAGACAGGGTAGCAGCCGAGGTTGTAGATGGTGCCCTTGCCGAGCGGGTTGGCTCTGTCCCAGATCTGGGCTGCGTAGTGGCCGTTGATGGCTCGAATGCGGCCCAGCTCGCCCGACTTGACGATCTCGACGACCTTTTCCATAAAGGGATGGCAGAGATACATAAGGCCCTCAAGCATGAAGACGTTGGCGTCACGCACGGCAGCGAGGCTGCTCTTTGCATCAGCGAGGGTTGTGGTCAAGGGCTTTTCCGAGAGGATGGCCTTGCCACGCTTGGCGGCCGCAATGATGGCCTCGGCGTGAACATGAGAGGCGAGGCCTATGTAAACGACATCGACCTTGTCGTCGTCGAGGATAGATTCTAGAGTATCGTAACGCGAGGCGACATTGTACTTGTCTGCGAAGGCGCGTAGGTTGTCTGGATTCCTGCCGAAGATGGCTTGGATGGTTGAGCCCGGGCTGTTCTCAATCGCTTTGGCCACGGTGTGACTAATGAAGCCTGTTCCGATAATTCCCCAACGAAGCATGGTGAGAAACACTTCGTGCCCTTATGTTCAGAATATTGGGGTTGTGGACAAGGCGAGGTGCAGAAGAGCCGCAAATTGACAGAGAATTTATATGGGGTTGGATCAGTGACCAGAATAGGGACAAGAGAAAGGGGAGACTGGGAAAAAGCATCGGGGAGTCCATTTGATATCGTCAGACGCCAATGCGGGGTAAGCCAAAATGGCTTGTTGGCTTTTTTTCACGATGGATTCGTCTCATTCGCACCATCGATAAGATTGATTTGTAACTCAGGTTTCGCACTCCGGCGGCAACCGACGGAAGAATTGAGGGCTGATGGAGACATCTCCGAATGTACCTGATCAATTTGTGCCCTGTTCACTGTCAAGAGACTCTACATACAGGTTCAGTCATATTCGTTCCATCATGTTGACACACTTTCCCTCGAGCAAATCCATCATCTAAAGTCTTGATGCCTTCTGGCTACTGTACAAAACGCCGGTTCTATGTTTAGCCCAGTATAACAATACAAATCTATGTTCTCAAGATCAGGAACCATCTCCGGACTTACGGGATGTTAATCTTGGCCGACTCCTTCTTGACGGCTGCCCTTCCACCAAATCCCCAGCCGATCTGGTGCGCCACCTGGATCGACGTCTCAAGCTCGTCGGCCCATGCCCAGACAAGGCCCGGATTCTTCTGGAACATCCTGCCCACGGCGACGAGGTCCAGCGGCGTGTCGTCCTCATCCTTGCCTCCCGAGATGAGCTCCTCCGCGAGCGTACCCGTCTTGATGCTGCCGACGGTGCTCACAAATGCTTTGTCGCCGACCGCTTTCTTGATCGCCTTGGCGAAGCCAGCCTGGTATCCCGGCCCGCCCTTGACCTTCTGCGCCGCGTTGTTGCCACCGCTAGAAATGTCGAGAATGTCGACGCCCCGATCAGCCAACAGCTTGGCGAACTCGATGCTCTCCTTGATCGTCCAGCTCTCGCCCTCGAACTCGGGGTTCGTGTCCAGCCACTCGGTCGCGCTGAAGCGCACAGCCAACGGCGTGCCCTCGGGCAGAATGGCGCGCGTCTCCTCGACGAGCTCGAGCGCCAGGCGCGTGCGGTTCTCAAAGCTGCCGCCGTACTTATCCGTGCGCTTGTTGCTCGTCGGCGACAGGAAGCTCGAGACAAGGTAGCCGTGGGCAAAGTGCAGCTCGATTATGTCGAAACCGGCGTGCAGCGCCCGCTTGACGGCGGCGGCAAAGTCCCTCTTGACCTCGGCGATCTCGTCGAGAGTCAGCGCCCGCGGCGTGGGGAAGTCCTTGCCGAAGGGGACATCGGACGGCCCGACGACGTCGTTGGGCCAGCCATTGACGTCCTCGGTCGCGATGGCCTGCGGGAGCCACGGGGCGACGGTCGAAGCTTTGCGGCCAGCGTGCCCGAGCTGAATCGAAATAAGCTGGTTCTGACTGTGGGCAAAGTCAACGTGCTCCTTGAGCTTGTCGACGTGAGCGTCTAGCCAGATGCCCGAGTCCTCCGGGGTGATGCGGCCATTTGCCTGGACGGCAGTAGCCTCAATCATGCTGAATCCAGGCTGCAGAAGGTGTCAGTTGGGTTCGCGAGAATGAGCAGTGCTCGAAACTTACGCCTCGCTGGACGATTCCGCCGTAGTGGGTAGTGTGCCAAAGGGTGTGAAAGCCCTCGTGCGCGCTGTACTGGCACATCGGGCTCAACCAGATGCGGTTCGGCAGCTCGACGCCACGGATCTTGAGCGGTGTGAAAAGCTTGGGGATCTCGCCGTTGGCGGCCTTGAGCGCGGTGCCGGCAGGCGGCGACTGTTCGGGGGTGAAGAAGGGGACGCCTTTAGCGGGGGTGTTTTCGAGGCTAGCAGGAATCTTCTTGCGCTCAACGAGAGCTGGTGTCCTCGACCGAGATGGCGGGATGCCCTCGTAGCCTGGGGCCGAGACCTTGTTGTCTGCCGTCATGATGCTATCTGTTGTTCCGGGATTGGGGAAAGTTCAAGAAAATGGGACACGGTTCTTCACGTCTAGCTGCTTGATTCGCGGGGTTGTCTTTAAGAATAAGAACCATTCCAGGGATATGTTGGACTGGGCCTCGGCAGTTTAAGTAGCCCCCCGCATTTGGGACCTGCTAATGATTTCAGGTCAAGACAGTCTGAGAAGCAGAGCCACTGCACAGGAGGCAATCGAGAAGGGCGCTTGGTAAGCCTTGCAACATGAATGGGATTAACAAGCTCATTCATATCAATCCACATTCGCCACACGGCTCATCGTTGCTTGACGACGGTCGTCGAAACAGATTTTGAGGAGGTGGGGGCCGTGTTGGAATCGTGTAGACAGGCTTGACAGGGCAACATACACTGCTATGACGTTATTGATCCCGCGTTGAGCGACTCCAATTGCCTACCTTTTGGGCGAATCTATTTCCTAATCAAGAAAGTCCGGATCCGGCAAACTGGCTCGGTCGATCCCAGACGGGATTGTCCGCTGGGTCAGGTCATGGAATTCAGATTCCGCGTCGGCTCCAATTACCAAGCACGCTTTCGCTCGGTCAAACGTAGGAGAAGATAAACATGATTTCATAACAAATCTGAACAGAGAGTTCGTAGCGCAATTTTTTGTTCCTCCACTATCTTTAGTCCAGCTTGGGATTGACGCTATAATGGAACCTCACAATCTGGAGTCCTGTTGCTATCCCTACGTCAGTCCTTGAGCCTCGGAAATCGACCCAGCACGCAATTTGACCTACACCGTCCCACTCAGGTCAACCAATTGCCCTTAGCATTTTCCCACCCAAAGTCCTCCATGGTCCACCCGCTGAGGGCGAGCTTCCCATCCACCTCACCCTTTAGGCGCTGGATGCCCTCAGCGATGCGATATTTCTTGATGGTGTCCTGGGCTTTGTTGATGGTATCGATCTCCTCGTCGCTCAGTGTCACAAGCTTGATGTTCTCCGCGATGCGCTTTTCCGAGCTGCTCTTGGGGATGACCGTGATGCCGCGCTGGACAGCCCACGACAAGGACACCACGCCGGCCGAGCAGCCGTGTGCATCGGCAATCTTGGTGAACGTCTCATGATGGAGAATTTGGTTCTCCTCACCAGCGCGGGACCCTCCAAGTGTCCTACAACTACGTCAGCAATCAAGGTCGGGTAAACTCTCCCATCCGGCATGACGGGTCAAGGGTAGCGAAGCTTACGACCAGCTCATCACGTGGATGCCCTTCTCTTGACAGTACGGTACCAGCTTGAGGCACGGGTTCAATGCGTGAAGCTCAACCTGATTCACGGCAGGCACAATGCTGGCCTTCTCCAGCAGCCGGTCAAGCGTCTTCTGCGAAAAGTTGCTGACGCCGATGGACTTGCACGTGGGCCCGACCAGTTTTTCCATTCTCTTCCAGGTATCCTCGAAGCGCGGGTCCTCATGCGGTCGCAGGACGGCTTTCTCGGGCTTCGGCGTCGTCGCCCACGGCCAGTGCATCAGCAGGACGTCGACGTAGTCGAGTCCCAAGCTCTCGAGCGAAATGCGCAGCGCCTCGGCGGGATCATGGTGCCACTCGCCCCAGAACTTGGTCACGACGGTGATTTCCTCGCGCGGGATGCCGCTCTCGCGGACGGCGCGGCCGACGATATGCTCGACACCGTAGGCTTGGGCCGTGTCGAGGAGGCGGTAGCCGCTCTTCAGGGCGTGGATGATGGAATTTTCAAGAGCCTTATCGTCGTCTGTTCCGGGGCTGCCTGTCATGGGATGAGCGCTGTCTCGGGGACCGCATGGTGGTGGGTGATCAGCCTACCTTGCCAAGTTCCCAAGCCCACTGCTGGCATACGCAAGCCTATGGTTCAATTTGATCGTCAGTTTCGGAAACCCTTCATGTTCTACTTTTTGTGGCGCACCATTATTCAGTTCAAATGTCTTGGTACAAACTGATGGCGAGGCCATGTTGAGTTTCTGATTTCTAAAGCGAAGCAGAAATCACTGAGGAGTCGATGGAGGCTGCCAGATTGCGCAGCGATTTAACAGAGGGAAATTTTCCCAGGCTCTTGATGTTTTCTCGAGTGATTGAATTAGCCTCTTATAATGTGATGGTGAGGTAAGGTCTGTAGCATGACGTGGCCGCTATACTCAGCGCCCTGCCTCACGACGTCCCATACGCGGAGGGTGACGGCATGACCCGCTTATCTGGCTACCCCGCCCGAACCTGAGGTAGGCGGGATGTTGCTGCTTTATCATCATGATGGTGCAGGGTGCGCCTTCGGTGAAGGGCAAATGTCTACTTCTTGGTAAATGATGCTGGTCAGGATACTTCGGCGGAGTGATCAAGGTAGGGGGTGATGTCTTTTCGTTATCAAGCCTCGCCTTTCAAGGCTCAAGAAAACGACGTAGGTACAGATGTTCTCTCCAACTCTCCGAGAAAGCATACGAAATGGGGTGCATCGCCCACGAACGACAAGTATGGTACGAGAAGGCAACCCCACAGCAGATTTGACGCCCGGATCAGTAAAGGATCCAGCACCTCGCCCACCTACCACCAAGAGCAGTCCAATCGACTATAGGAGAATTGATTTATTTACTTGATTCATGCGCTGACTCTTGTGTCTGATGAATAACATCTTCTCACACCGAAATTGTCCCTCTTGATGAGATACGAAAGTCCCAATGACTCAGACAATGACTTGGCATATGTAGTAGTCGAAAGAATCGAGCATGCCGTCTTCGCAAAGTACGCCGCTTCAACAAGCGAGGTTGAAACAGATCGACTCAAACGAAGTCCTACTAAGTTTTCACTATAAAGCCCTGAGTCGGCGACACGTCTCTGAATCTCAAGTGGCTCGCCTAGTCTTAGGTATTCGTCGCTTTTACCGACTCTATTTTTATACTTGCCGACTAATTGACTCCGTGCGTGCGTAAGCTCGCGCGTAAGCTAGCGCCATCTCAAGACAGTAACCCGGAAAACAGTCAACCCAAGAAGTAATTGCGAAGATTGAGACTGTCTATGCCAAGAATATGCCATGTCTCGTGAACAGGTCACAAAGAGGCCTGTTAGCCCTTGAAAATTGTTCATTTACCATGGGACGGATGCGCGGCTGTCATAAAGGACAATAAAGACTTCAACACCACATACATCAGTGATATCATAACTTGGAGACCACCGAGAACTTCCAGGCACTTTCTCGATTGGGTGAGTACGTGTTCACCAAGCACAACAATAAGATACGACTTCTGGGAGCCTGGAATCTCCATAAATGCCACCCAGCTGTTTTTATATGTTTGACCGAGTCGAAGCCCTTTAGTATATACTGCGGAACTATTTAAAACCCTATTTACTCGGCCGATGATATTAATACCAAGAGCATCTGCATGGGAACGCAGGATCAAGATTCAACCGAACACCTCCAGACATGGTGAACTCCGAAAAGTCTGCCCCAGTCATCTGCGAGTGCAGGTTTTAGGTACCCTGCCACATGCCACTGCCCTTTGCAGGAGTTCGATAACCCCTATCTAGTAGCAGAAAACGCTGCTCAGCTGGTCGTTGAACTGACCATATCGGTCGTGGATGCTGGGGACGTCAATGTTACACTCGGTGAACATCGGACCACCTTGGCAGTCGGCGTCTTTGTAGAAGCGGCAGCAGCCACCGCTGATGCGGAAGCTGGTTACAGCATCATTGGTGAAACCGCTCCAGTTACTGCCGCCACGGTTGCTGAAGCAAGAGTTGACCGGCATGGGCCACTTGTTCTGCAGACCTAGGCGTTAGCAGCCTCCGGTTATATCTCAATGTGAAGAGAGTTCCTTACAGGCGCAGCCTCCACGGTAGTCCCGATCGTAGCAGAGCGCGAGATCGAGGGCCATGGCGGGCACAAGGAGCACGCTAAGAGCGGTCCCGAGGGCGAGCATGGGGGCTTGGGTGATCGAAGAGAACATGATGGCCTCTGGGAAGCAACAACGCTGGTGAGTGTGTAGAGGAATTTGGGTGAGGAGGAGAGCTGAGAGGATCTGATGATGGATGCTGATGAAGAAGAAATTGAGTGAAAGGACACGGGCTCTGACCTAGCTTTTATACAAGCTCTCAACATGGGGCCCCGACTGAGTTGGAGACGTGATACGTGAAAAGCTGTATGGCTAAGAAGAATTCGTCCGATAGCCTCGTCAGAGTTTCTTTCAGGATAAAATCTAGCCACGCGTGCGGAAGAACTGTGCAGAGTCCGGGAAAGGGCTATTGAAGTCGCGGCCTCTCGGCACAGCCGGCATGCTCCATGACAGGGACCAAATGGATCGAAGTACTTTAACTCGGGTACTTTTGCATTATACAAGTCGTTAATCGGCGCGACTACAGCTAATGCCATTGGTTGAGTGACCTGCACGGGAGCGGCGTTCTCGAGTACCATCACCGTCCTTCTAAAGTGTGTTCATCCTACACGGCGTGAGTGGAGTCCTGGGTGATTTCAGTACGAACCTTATGTAACATCGCCCTGGCACAGTCGGTTGGGGAAGGTAGTATTTACAAAAGTACCGTGCAGCTGCGTAGTCTGCAATGTCGACCAAACCAGCGCATGGGCCGATTGGACTGAAACTTTGATAATTTACACTCTGCACATGCTCGATAAAGAAGACACAGAGCCAAAACCCCCAAAATTCAGCGTTGCATTGAAATTGAGCTACATGGTCTAGCGACACTCCATGTTCAACTGCTAAGTTTTGATTGGTGCAGACTCTTGCTATGTCTAGAGCGAATTATTGAGAAATACATGCTCTTTCATGAATTCTGATAGCCAGACACCCGAGAAACTGTCTAGTGCAGGTATGCTGCCAAGACCGCACATTTTCCTGCATACAGTTTTGCCCGTTGTTGTTGTTGTCGCTAGCGTGATACATGGTCAAAGTCGGCTGCAGCAGAAAATCAGGGGTCCTAGTGCTTGGCACAAGGGCTATTTACATCCACGCAAGGATTGTATGTGGGATGTATGAGCCATTGGCTACGGCCGGAAGTAAGCCATATATTACTAGTCTAACAGCCTGTTGTATACCGATAACAAGAAGCCTGGGAATTGTGCCATCCAAGAAATGCCTTTCGGGATTTGAGGCAGCTCTTGCACTTGCTCCTGCAAAACGGCTGACAATGTACATTCCTAGTTGTAAGGCTTATCCGAGAGCTACATCCTCAGGCCAGCTCCCTTGGCCGCTGAATGTTCTTATTTGGTCACGTTTCTGATGCTGACCGAGCGCACTGTTTAACTGTTGGATTTGGCTGTGTTGGCTGAAGAGATTCAACCGTCGGCGCACCAGCCCTTCTTCAAGCTGCTTCCGCCAGTGGAACTAAAGCCATGGTTTCACTTTAGTAATACGTTCTTCAACGGATAGGCACATGATAGCACATTATTAGGGTCCATTCTGTGTTTGAGATGAATGACTCGCTATCGGTTCCCCACGCACACGATTGCAAATCAAGCGTCTCTAGGATCTGACCTGAGGTCAGTGTCGTGAACTCACCTTTCTGTCCGACCAGAGCAGTGTTGCCCTCGGGATCGACGACCTTAGTCCGCGTATGTGGCAGAACCCTGCCTATGGTGGTCGACATGGTCTCCTCGCTATCGTCCAACGACATGATGAAGGTGACAGGGCTGTTTTCCGTCATGCCACAGCTGATCAGCATACCCATAAAACCCCTCTCCCTTTTCATACTCCTGAACAGGGACGGTGGAACGGGAGACCCAGCGGCCAGACCCGTCCGCAGCGTGGTGATACAATGCCTCTTCGCTTCGAGTATTCGGAACTCGGCATTGAACATGGTAGGCACCCCAAGCAGTGCTGTCACCCTTTCTTGAACAACCGCACCCAGAGTCCACGCGGCGCTGAACGCCTGTGAGGAGAAAATTTTCCCGCTGCGGTAGCGGAAAGCTGCCAGGAAAACCACCACCAGTCCGAAACAGCAGAAAAGAGGTGGCGACTGCATGCGATGTCATTTTCAGTCAACCGCATAGCCTGGCCAGTGCAGCGCGCGGTATTGATGAGGTTTACGGCCGATGTCAGCATCCGTGCTTACAAACGAGCGATGAACAACGCTTTTCTCGCCAGGCTGGGTGTCACAAAGAATCGAAACCGCCAAAGTTCTCCGGCAGTATGGCAGGATCAATATTACCAAGATCAACAGATAAATATGTTGACAGATCGGTCGTCGACATGCAATTCATTTTCTTGCGTATCCTGCGTCGAAGACATATGGCATCATGGTCTGTGGCAGGATGTGGGCGAGCCCCTCGTACAATGTCCCATGTGTGCACCAGCCGTGATTATCCATCATCGGTGCAATACCGCGCCGCTGCACGGACAGTTTTCCTCCGTCCGCGCCGCCCGAGTAACAGCGGCTTAACTCCGCACTAGCACCCTGCCGGCAGCAACGTCCCGATATCCAAGACAATGAATGACTTTTGTATAAGTGATGGCCGGGCTCTACTCTCTGGAAGCCATGTGCCTGGCTTACGGACGCATCATCACAAAACGATTTATTGCCGCCATGCCCCTCAGTGCAGGCCCAGTCCTTCTCCTCGGCGGCACTGGCAAGGTAGCTCGCAGCATCGCCTCGCTCTTGGCTAAATCGGACATCCCCACTATCCAAGCGTCCCGTAGCGGTGCCACCACAGAACCCGATGCCACGAACATCTCAGGGGTCGCGTTTGACTGGCACGATGAGACGACCTACGCCAAGGCTCTCGCCGCGACGCCGCGCGCCGTCTTCCTCGTCGCGCCACCCATTCTCGACAGTTTCTCCCCCATGTCAGCTTTCATCGATATTGCACGAGAAAAGGGAGTCCGGCGATTTGTCCTCCTAAGCTCAAGCGCGCTGGAAGCAGAGGAGGGCGGCGTGGCAATGGGCAAGGTGCACGCCTACCTCAAAGCTCTCGGTGACAAGGGCCAAACTGAGTGGGCGGCTCTGCGCCCGACCTGGTTCCAGGGTGAGTCGTGGCAGCACATGCATTGCCTCGGTGGCAAGCTGCGTGAGGCGGGCGAGCGGGTGCTGACATGCTGGCAGAGAATTTGGTAGAACACAGGGCGCACGTCATGTCTATTTGGGGCGAGGGCAAGGTGTACTCGGCCACGGGGGAGGGGCGAATTCCATGGGTCGCTGTCGAGGACATTTCTGCCTCGGCATATCAGCTCTTGACGCAGGAGGCAGCGCCCAATGCAGAGTTTCTGATTCTGGGGCCGGAGCTGCTTTCCTACGGCGACGTGGGTGATCACACTCGTCGTCTAAAGCGCGAGGCTGACTTTTGCTAACAATAAAACAGATTGCTGCGATTATTTCCGACGTGCTGGGCCGCAGGGTCGTGCATCACCAGCAGACGCCGCGCGAGCGGAAGGATATGTTCGCCATGGCGGGCATGCCCGATGGATACGCTGATATGATGGCAGCGTTGGATGTTCAGATTCTCCATGGAAGCGAGGAGAGGACGAACGACGTGGTGCTAAAGCTCACAGGGAGAGAACCAAGAAGGTTTCGGGTCATGGCTGAGCAGCGCAAAAATGTTTGGCTCAGCGATACGTGACGAAGAGGTTAGAAGCGCCATTTAGGTCTCCAGACAGCGCACGATTGGTGGGTGTCGGCGAGTCTGACATTTGCCAGCGCCACTTTCGGGTCTTCCAGTGAACGGTACAGATTGAGGGCGCATCCTTGAACGGCATTCATCAGGGCCTAGGTAAGGCCTTAAACTTCAACGGCCATAAGCATAAGCCAAAGCATGTTATACTACAGGATGCATACGGGATTTCGTCACTTTTTGGAATGATGATCCTTGCGAAACCAATATGATCGAGGGGGACAGCGAAAAACTACGCCAAATGGCCCCACCAAAGTGCATCACGAAGGCATAACATCTCCACCAGTGCGGCATTTTGTATACATGATACGCATTACCATTCGGCCGTTCAACAATCAATCCCTGGTGGCCCAGTTGGTTAAGGCGTCCGACTGTTATTCAACAGGCAAATCGGGAGATCGACAGTTCGAACCTGTCTCGGGGAGTTATTTCTTTTGTAGATGACGTCGACGAGAATAATGATTTATGACTTCGCTTTTTGAACGCGGGGCTAATTCGGACTTCATGGAAATAGACAGTATCTGGCGGCGTGAGGCAGCAAAGCCTCTCCCAGGCATTCGCTCTCGGTCGGATGGATGTGAATGTTTTCTTCGAGGTCGACCATGAGTGAGTGATAAATAAGGTCACCTCTATTGCGGTAGTCAGCAGTGAAACATAAATTTAGGTAAAATACTGTGGCATCAGTCATGACACAGGAAAATGGAGGCTTACTGTATAACAGTATGAGAGATTATGGTATGGCGCGAATAAAAGTCCAAGTCATACCAGTTCCTACGCTCTACTGTACAGAATGTCGTATGTCAGCATCAGAATACCAGACTCCTTCTTCTCCACACTTCGCAGGTCGAGCTTCCAAAATTCTTGCTTTTCAGTTTCTTGCGATATCATCTTTTTGCCTCTACCGATAATGGCTGGCATAACAGCTGTCTCAACAGCGTCTAGTAGCTCGGCTGCGAGGAACTCACTGGCAAGACGGCCGCCGCCCATGAGCCAGATATCTTTACCCTGACCAGACTTGAGGTTTCTGACCACATCTAGGTAGTCATCTCTAACAATTTCGATATCGGGGTGATCTTTTTGCTTCAATGTCTTGCTTATGACGATGACATGGTGATCGGCAAGAGGGTTGGCACCGGATGTCTCCCCGTGGTGAAGCATTGCTTCGTATGTTTTGCGTCCCATGACGAAAGATGAGAATTCACTGTAAAGGGCTGTGAAATCAATGGATGGGTCGTCAAGAATCCATGTAGTTGAGCCATCGAGCGAGGCGATGAAGCCATCGAGAGTAGTGGCAATGTTGTACCGTACGCGTGGCATCGTGCGACCCAAGTCTCCCGTTGTGGTTTTTCAATGGTATGTCCCTGTCAAAAGGAGAAGAGCACGCACGAACTTCGTGCACGCTCTTCTGCCGCTGCCAGAAACTGTAGCTTGTTGTTCTCGAGGGCCTTGGCTGAAGGTTGCCTTCGGTCAGAGATTCGGTCAGTGATTCAGAGTCGGTCAGTATCGGTCACTGCCGGTAAATCCGGTATACTGACAGGGATGTGCATGCGATGGAAGAGGGGGAATTAGGAGACTAGGGCGGCCCAGGCCAGATCTGATGAATTGAGGGGCACGTGGAACCCCTGAACCCGTTGACCAAAAAATAGGATCAAGGAAACGAACTGTCGGATGTCTGCAGTGCCCTGTCGCTAAACTCGGCGTCGGTATTTGACCCCGACGGTTTGCCCGACCGCCAAACTCCTGCTTCCCGACCCTCCTCCGTTCAAGACTCACTACCCACAGCTACCAGCACGACGCCAACTCGGAACGTGCACTAAACGAGCTGCGGCACGGCGCTGTACTGAGCATTTTCCCATCGACCGGATATGCCCTGAAATGCCGCCACCTGCGATGCCGCTTGCGCGGCGATCGCGCAACGGTTGCCTCGATTGCCGCCGCGCGAAGGTCAAATGCGACGAGCTCCGGCCGTCTTGCGGGACGTGTGCGCGGAGGCGGCATGTTTGTCAGGGGTATGCGAAGCCAGTGCCGTCAACAGATGCATCAGCCGCACCTTCGGCACGGAACGTCAGAAAGCCAACAGGGCCCACGACGGCCACAGTCTCAGGGTCGAACAAGGCGGCCGTAGGCGCACAGCCAATGCGGAACGGAAAGGCGACAATAACATTGCCAGCCCTCGAAAGTTTAGGTTTCCTGTCGCTTATACCCCGCGGGGCTGTTCCGGCTTCTGATGAGATCAATATTGAACTTTACTTCAAGCGTACGTCTCTGTTTCTAACGAACTCTTTCATACGGCATGCGGAGTTGGGAGGCACTCAAATCGAGGCATGGCTAACTTTCGAAGGACACCCTTCCGAACTTCTCATCGGACAAGAATTCGTCAGCGAGATGAACGCCAACGCATTATTGATACTCCAACGCGACCCAGTACGGGTGGCAGACACTTTGTCGGCCATTGGTTATGCGTATCAGGTCGGCGACAGGGCGGGATCCTTGCTACCCGTTCTGAATCGAAGAGCAAGGATCCTAGCCAACCTTAGGAGCATGAAGGCGTCGAGCTTTTACTTCGAGGAAGCTCTCTTTCTGCTTCTAGGTCTATGTGCCATGGAGGTAAGCTACCGTAGCATTGCGATTCCCCATTCGCACTCGCCTATCAAGTATTGCCATGTACTCACCAGGAGAACAGCTCGTCACGCTCGCACAGCCAGGCCACCACGCCACCATACCGACGGTTCTGGGCAACGTTTCCTCCCTCATATCACACCACACCTCGATAGACGGCGAAATTTCTTTCGTCAGCCGCTACCTTCTGCGTGCCCTTGCTCGTCAAGACCTTGTCGTTTCCCTCGTCCATCTCCGTCGCCCTCGCATTCCGACCTGCATCTGGCTCGAGACGAACGACTGCGCAAAAGCAGACCGTCTTCTTGGCTACACAGCAACGCTCATGCCTTTGCTTGAGGAGCTTTGCATCCTCGCAGAGGATATGCGCGAGCAAATTCTCCAACTGAGTCATTCATCAGCGACCGATCAAGCGGTGCTTGGATTTTCAGCCGCATCCATGTCCCCATCGTCTCAGGATACCTCATATGCCACAGACACTAGCCCCAGGTCCTCCGTTTCGGTTTGTTCTAACATTAAACGACCATCAACCATGACGCCCTCCGTCAATCCCTCCCCCGAGTCCACCTCGATTCAACTTCGGGCTGCATCCCTCTACCATCGCCTGACTGCCTGGTCTCCTCCCATCACAGACAACAACCCCTTCCTGACGACCCGCAAATTTCGTGTCCAAGCCGCATCCTATCGCTCCGCAGCCCTCCTCTACCTCCACCGTCTGCAGCACCCCCCTAGCAGCAGCATCAATAGCCACGATGCATCCCAGCACGCAGTCTCAGAAACTGGAACCGAAGCTGAAGCAGACGCCGCGGCTCTCCACGGCGCGCATGACGTGCTTCTCTACGCATCTGGCGCGCCAGCTGCTGAGACGAAGCTTCTTCTTTGGCCCGTCTTCCTTGCGGCCTGCGAAATGCGCGGAGAAGAAGACAGGCGGGCTGTTAGGGAGGTCTTGGCTTCCATCGCTGCACACAGAAGGACTGTGACTGTCGAAAGGACGAGGAAATTTGTGGAAGAGCGAGTGTGGAGGGCGAGAGACGCGGGAGAGGATTGGAGCTGGATGGTGCTGGCACAGAAGTGGCCTGGGGAGTGTCTTCCTATCTGAGTGTTTGAGGTAGTAGGAACGGCGTTTGATGGTATTCGTTCCGGCGGGGGCTGGCGTTCGGTATTATATACTCATGCTCACTAGTCTTTCATATTTATTTGTACGGCTCGCAAAGCAGCTTTGTTGATTGAAATCTAAGGCTAGTGCCAATTGACGGACTGACCATATCCAAAGCATTTCTAAATATTTGCAGATGCGACGCCGACCTCACTTGTGTCGAAATTCGTCGATGACGCTCGCTGGCTTGGCGTACTCCAAATCTGAAGTATACTCATACGGCAGGTTGAATGCCTTTGGTCCTGCCACCTCGAGCCCCCTCTTCGATGCCCAGATAGGGTGTGGTGCCATGAGCATGACCACGACCTTAACCCCGTACCTATACTCTTGTACCCCAATCGCTTCACCAGTTGAGACATCAAGCACCATGATCAGATCGGGCACTGTGGCTAGCATCGTCTGCGCGCCATCGGTTCCCTTGGCTAATACAGCCAGGTTCTCGTTCATGAATGGCACCCGCACCTCCTTCCACCCCTCGCCTTCCCGAGCTCGTTCAGCCTCACTCTCGACTTCGTCCTCGCCGAGACCTTCGATCACGACTTCACCGAGCGAGTGGCCGGTCTCCGTAATTCTCGTCTCGACGCCACGGATTTTACCCGTAAACACGCGCCTCGCGGACCGCGCGCCGCCAGCCTCCGCAACAAGCGCGTCCGTGATAGTGCCCATCCGGGATTCGACCTGCGCGCGTCGTACGACCCTTCCAAGGCGCCACGCAAGAGAGAAGGTATTCGGTATGCCGTCGCGGCGCATTCTGGCCCCAGAAAGTGGCGTGCCCGCGGCCCCGGCAGCGAAACCAAAGTTAGCGCATACCTTGCGGATCTCTTTACCCGCGGCCGTCTCATCTGCTTGCCCGGCCGGCACAATTGCGTCTTGGCCGTCGCCGCTGCAAATTACCACAGGTAGCAGCTCATTGACAGACTCCGAATTAACGTATTGGGAGACCATCTCAAAGTTAGGATATGCGCGACCTACGCCATCGTCGTCAATACAGTGCATTCTGTGTAGGAGAGGGGCCTTACCCATGAGATCTCCATCAACAATCGGCACGCCGCAGTACCTCTTCGAACCCCATAGTAAGGTGCCCAGGCCATTCATACCTCCAATCTCAGTAGCTAGCAGATGCGTAAATTCGACGTTACCTTGCTCCTTGCTCAATCTCTGGAGAGCATGGAAGACGGCGTCAGACGCGATGCGCTCCTGGCCCACAGCTGGAGTACCAATAGCCGCCACTGGAGGCAGAACAGCATCATCCAGCAAATCTTCAATACGAGTGATGATAATGCGTTCGCCCTCACGGAGCAGTTCCATAAGATGTAAATATGATGCATACGGGGATCCGCCGCCGCCACAGCCAAGAACATAGCAGCCAATTTCGATGAACTTGAGATCTATAGGCGACACAATCCACTCGCCTTGGGGAGTGATCTTTGGTCGATACGTGGCCAAGTCTAGACCTTCATAGGTGTCGTCGGTGGTGGACGCCTTTTTGCCCTTGGGCGAGGGTCCGTCGGCCATAGAATCGAGAAGAACGTCATCCTTGATGGGTGACTGCACCATTTCAGCATAGACTCGGGTGTGATCTGCTGAACAGGCGACTTCGATCCGCACGAGCTTCTTGTTGTCGACGTACGGCACCCATTCCACCTCTTCATTGAGGACAGTGACCTCACGAGAGACACCACCCTTGGCTGTAGCATTAGCGACTGCCATATCCATTACACGGGCGATGCCTGCGGTGAGGTCATCAGCATCTACCATGACCTCTGCAGTCCCATAAATCTTAGCCAAGGCGGCACCTATGGCGTTGGCGACCCCAGCATGCTCGGAACGTATGATGTGATTAACTCCCTTGAGGGTTGGAGGGCACAAAATGGCTCCGCCCCCAACTAGGACAACTGTACAGTCTTCAGGTGAGAGCTTGATCCGGTCTATGAGGGCTTCAAGGATATTCTTGATGCGATCGGCAGCGCATGCAACGACGGTGGAGTCGAGTTTGACGAGGGCTGGATCACCTATGAGCAGCTCATTTGGCGATGAAGCGATGGCAACATCAGTAGCTGTTGGTACCGAGCCTCCGAAACACATAGCTTCAGACGTGAGGTCGTGACCAACGCTGTCGGGACCAACGGTGATTGTTACCGATGAAGTCGCGGTTCGAACCTCTCGAATGATGGAGCCACCACCTAGGCCGATGCTCTCGACTGAGGGCATATCAAGGTTGATCTTGACGCCGGCTAGTTCGGTATACGTTTTGCTCAGTCGCGGGTACCCGTTGGGCAACAATGCACCCACATCGCTGGTGGTCCCTCCAACATCGACAACAACGCAACCCTTGTCGCCTGATATGGTAGCAAGCTCTTCCCGTGCGAGAAATGCCGCTCCACGCATGGAGTTTGTCGCGCCGGAGGAGAAAATGCGAATGGGAAAGCTGACGGCTTCGCTGAATGGCAGCAGGTGACCAGCATTCGATGTTAAGTAAAGCGGACACTGCAGTCCCACCTTTCTCATGGCACGCATGAAAGAGTACACCGTACGGCGCGCAAACGTCAGAATCGCCGCGTTCAGAACAGAGGCGTTCTCGCGAGCTAAGAGCCCCGAACCGGCGACACTATGGGAGAGAACAATATTTGTGGACTTTGCATAGTCCGTATCCAACTTCTCGAGTTCTGACAGGATGATAGTGCCGGCTTCAGACTCCTGATGGTAAGTTGTATCCATTGGGGACCCCATACCGACAACAACAACATTCTGCAACTTGAGCTCATGGATTTTGCGAGCTTCGAGGCGAAGATCCTTCTCGTTGAGAGGAGCAATGAGCCTTCCATCGATATTCACGCCGCCTGGAACGATGGCAGAGTAGCCCTCAATAATGCCTCGAAGAGATCTGGGCCAGTCGGCAAAGGGCAGGGCACCCTTGACGAAACCGTGGGAACCGAGGCGAATGACAGCGACCTTGGAGAGAAGAGAAGCATCGCGCTGGATAATGGCGTTCAGGAAGTGCGTGGTACCAATTGCCAGAGCGGAAATCGAGGTCGGGTCGGGGGGCGATCCAGCGTCCTCCCCTGAGGCGATGGACTTGGAGAGTAGCGTCGTGAGTGTAGCTTCGACACCCTCCGTAACGTCCGTCGTCGTGGGAGACTTATGAGATGAAAGGACAGCAGAGGTGCCTGCTCTGGAAAGATCGAGGAGGACCGAGTCGGTATTAGTGCCTGGCCGTGTAAGTGATGTAGCAATCAGCAGGCACTCGACTTCGTAGTCAGGGGAAGCGATCCCTTGGAACTCGATGACTTGCAACAAGACATTGGGCTTTGTACGTACCGCCTACATCAACACCAACCACCAGGGGTCCTTCCGATTTGGAAGCCATGATGCAATGGCGAAAAGGGTGAGCGTGATATTGTGAGAATAAGTATGGCTTGCGCAGTGATGGTCATTGAACACGCGACAACCACGTCATGTCCGAGCGCGAATAATGCACGAGCCGGCGAGTGGAGAGTGAGCCAGCTGAAAGGGCGGCCAAAGAGCAAAAAAATGGTTGATGGGATGCACACTGATGCTGATATCTGGACTAAGATATGATGCAGATTTGTCTCTGTATCCAAAGCCAGAGTTTGTTGGCAAGCTTTCGATCCCGATATTTGTGGTGCCTGCCCTGATTCCACCTGCGCTGCCATTTGCAAATGAGGGGCAGCATAGCGGACGGGCAAGTGGCACCCAGGTAGGTCATGGTGGGGTTTTTCGTTGTCAGTGTCCGGCCCCGAGCATTGGATCCGACAGACCCCGACATCGGTACGTAGTTCCGCGCCTGAACGCCGAGCATGCATCCCTCTAAGATGATACGTCACTATCTATGCTATCTTAGCTCCATCGCACTCCGTTCAGGTGGGGTGATCAATTTCCAGAATCGATCTACTCTCCGAGCACCTCGAGCCATCACAGAGAAAAAGCGACGAGCGATCAGGAATCCCGCAATCCACCCCCTTGTTGCTGCCGCAAATGATTTTGAGGAAGAACCAGTCCAGCCAAACGATAACCCGTCGCCAGTTTGCAGGATCACCCTAGCCATGCGAAAAATAGGCCCACTGGCCTCCACCGGCCACGGTCGTCCAGCCATGATCGGACATGGAATCTTCAGCAGCTCTAACGATCTCGCTACGTGCGGCTCGCTGATCTTTTCCTAGTCCTCTCTTTAACTGCCACTCATCAGCAGGGTCTCGACAGCAACTGACTATCCTCACCACCCCGGATTGATGGTGCAGTTGCGGGGAGCCCAGACGAGTCAAACTCTGCCAAGCACACCCTCACCTTCCTGCGCGATAGACATGCTCCAGCCAATAAATCCTGTGCATCATATTGCTACCCTGGGAACCCCCACGACCTTCTGGCGACGCAGTGCTATACCCTCTTCATATAAGGCTTCCGGCAACCCCTCCCTCGGGATCAAGTTGAGTCGATCTAGAGCTGCATGCCATCATCAGAGGTGGCCACACCGAGCCCCCTCGTCTTCAAAAAGTGATATAGCCCAACAAGCTTTACAGACATCTTTCGTGTCTCTTTCCGCTCGGATTCGACTGGGCTGCACATCATCGGAAGTCAAACGCTCAGAGACTCAAGACCGTTGTCATGTGGAAGAACATTGTCGAGAGGATTCGTGTCGCCGATGACCACGAGCATGGCTACGAGACGGATAAATGGATCAATCCCGACATTGCGCCTCTTCCCCCAAGCCGTCGCAACTGGGGAATCTGGGCCTACCTGGGTTGGGGGTTCTATCGCAAGCGAGTTCTCACTCTTCATCTTTCTCTGGGGTGGGCATCCACGCTGACTGTCGCAGCCTGTGTATTTCAGCCTGGACGGGTGCCGCCTCACTCTTGTCCCTGGGCCTGACTGTACCTCAAGACGATTGGCTCATGATTATCGCTCGCATGCTCATGATCGCGCTCATTATCGGCAATGGATGGGATCGGCGGAGATGGCACATAGGCTTTTCCGTCCACCA